AAAAAAATTAAATTTTGCCCTTAATTAACTTGTTAGTCTATTTGTGCACTTTACAATGCTTAAATAGCAAGTTCATTCTTGCAAACGATGTTTTGTTAAAAGCGAAAAATCCCTTTATTTTTTCTCAATGTTAGCCGCTAAGCCACCAAGCTGGGTATGAAGCGGTTATGGCAGTCTTAGATTCACTGTTTTCTTGGAACTCGTTAATACACTTTAGAGAATAGAGTTTTTTCCTTTATGTAACAATGCTCTTTAATCGTCTACTACTTAAGAGCAAATGCAAATTATTTGCTGATGCTGCTTTTGAGCCAAAGCTATTGGAGAAAACAATGAATACACAGCTTTTGTCTAAATGTGTAAGTATAGATTTTTCCATATGTGATTGTATGACACACATATGACACATTTTCCGTACATAGTTAGTATATCACTACCACACGCACACCTACACTTCCTTGGACTCCCTTCAAAATTTGTGTTTCCTTTCTTTCTCACCTGATATAAGCACATAACTATTAATCTACAGCACATATGAAGTTGTCAAGTCTTTGGAGTGTTTGCGTCTTACTCACCTCCATTGAAAGCTAAATCTGGTGGTATACCTGTCAAGTGTATCTCGGACTTGCGTAAGGGCTAAATTGCTAGTCTTCCTTATGGCACCGTGGAATCCGAAAGGTTTGCTTATAACGAGCAAATGGGATAATGCACTATTGGACCATTGATTGAATCGTTTGAGTTTTTTGACTATGCCGAATGGTCTATCATTCCCGATCACTAACGGTTTAACATGCAGTGAGAAATTTTGAAAGGATATGTTGATGAGTCATATGAGTAACCCCGTTAATGTACACAGCATCGTAAATTACTTTAAGACAGCATTCATTCCAGTTGGTGCCAAGATACATCTGCAATTGATACAAGGAGGTTATACTATACCTTGCGCATCCAAATTTTAACTTTTTTTAGGGTATTTAGCATAAGGCGTAAATACTGTAAGAAATTGGACTTCAGGAAATATTCCACCGCTTCGCTCTTTCCACAAATGCCGCAGAAGGCCCGAGTAAATTAATTTGCATTTACGATTACATTTTCTAGGTAGAATATTTACGCCTAGCTTATAATAATTAGAAGCGCTAATTTACAACGTATTACTATCGTTTTCAATAAGGACTAAACTTCCGGTCTCTTTTTGTTCTTGTTGCAGACACCGCTCTTTGTTAACATAATATGGTACTAATTTAATAATGTCGGATATAATAGGCTAATAAAATCACTGAACCACATTTACGATCATGTGTGAGCGATCTTCACTTCGCCATGGCAGCTAAATTTAATCCAAAAAGTGTCTACAGGTTCTCCGTTACACCAGAAAAATAATAATAGATGTCTGACTTTCAAATGCCACTTAGAATATTGCTGCAAAATGCAAACATTTGGTACTGTTGATACAGCAGTAAAAGTACTTTTTGGTGGTTAACTGGTGGCCCTACAATGTTTTTGTTTCAACTTGATGGAATTTCATAAACAGCTGCGGCTTTTTAAACGTAAAACACCATAAAGTGTTTAAATTAGGACCGGAAGTCACCAATTTTTATTCAGACAAAGTGCAACTGAGAAACCAAAAGGTATGGAAAGCAGAGCTTTTCGGCTATTTTATACGAATTGCAATTCAATAAGTAGTTTTAACAATCTGAATGCCACAGAGGGTTCATTGATGCTGCCCTAAGTGTTCAAGTATCACTGCTAATTAATCTTACGCAGATGTCGATTTATGAGTGTCATTTAACATTTAACATTTAACTGACTTCACTTATACAAGCCAGTTAATATTTTGTTATTATTTTTCCTGTTCGCAGGGTATTCAGGACCTGGGATAAGAGTCAGTGGTTACAAATAATGTGTGTCCGGTCTTCTTACAATGTCAAATTAAGGCCTATTTCATAGGTTTTGGGTTATTTTGGGTGATTTTATCATCAAATGATTTCAAATATGTTTCCACAACTTTTCTTTTTATTACAACAAACTAAATAAAACTCCACTGGCATGACAATTGGGAAGGCGGAATTAAATTCACAGATTTATAAACGAAATTGAGATTTGGGGTAAAAGCGTCCAGGCAAAACAAATTCTATGTTTATTTTTGCACTGGAATGTCTTAAAAACTCTAATTGCGATACGTTTGGCTTTTAAACTTAAGTTGTGGCTTTCCGATAAGCTAAATCAAGAACAATTTCTTTGTTTTTTATGTAAAGAGGGCTTTTCTTAGGAAGCACATGTAATGCGAAATACGAGGCTGACTTATCGGGGCCAGTTCACTCTGCATCTTTGTACTGTAAAACACCAAGTATCGCATGCCCTTGCGTATTTTACACATTTGTAGTGTAGATATGGATACTTATTACATCAGGATGTAGAGAAGACATATGCGGCAAGTGAGTGTCGAAAAGGACACGATGACACTTT